AGAGAGACTTAACTATTGCAAAGTCAGGACAGATTTCAAAGACGGGGGATTGAGCTGAGTCTTGAAGGATGGAAAAAGTGAAATAATTAAACAGCATAAGAGAAGAAAAGGACAGAAGATAATGGAAATAAAGGTGCTTAATTGGGAATGTGGTCATTAAATATTTATTAAATACCTACTACATGTCACTCACTGTGTTAGGTACTAGGTTATACACTGGTGAACAAAGCAGATGAGTTCCCTGTTCCCATGAAGTCTAGTTGGGAAGACAGATAATAATCAGGCAAGCAGATATATCATAATTGTAATAGGTGTTATAAAGGGAGTTAACAGATGCCAGTAATAGGGAATAACAGGAAAGGATTAGCTAGATAAAATGATGAGGGAAAGGGACTTCCCTGGTGGCGCAGTGGTTAAGAATCCGCCTGCCAATGCAGGGGACACGGGTTCGATCCCTGGTCTGGGAAGATCCCACATGCCGCTAGAGCAACTAAGCCCGTGCGCCACAACTACTGAGCCCGCGTGCCACAACTACTGAAGCCTGCGTGCCTAGAGCCCATACTCCACAACAAGAGAAGCCACTGCAATGAGAAGCCCACGCACCACAACAAAGAGTAGCAACTAGAGAAAGCCTACGTTCAGCAACGAAGACCCAACGAGGCCAAAAATAAATAAATTTATTTTAAAAAAAAAAGTGATAAGGGAAAGTATCTCTGAATCATAAGCTGAAGCTTGAAGGAGGAAGCCAAAGAGCAGGGGAGAGAGTATTCAAGAAAGAGAGAGCCACATGTACAAAGGCCCTGAGGTATGAAAGAACTTGTGTTTAAAAATAAATAAGCAGCTAGGGTGACTGAAGCATAATGGACCGTGAAACTAACATAAGATGACATTAGTACATAGGGGCCAGGTTATACAAGGCATTATAGGCCAAGATAGAGTTTTAATTTTATTCCAAGCCCCAAAGAAAACCATTAAAAGTTTCTGCGTACTCACATACTGTTGAATAAAAGGAGCCAGACCCAAGAGTATATACTGTATGACTCCATTTTTACAAAAGTACAAAAACTGTTTGTAAAAACATTGTTTTTACAATGTTTTGTACTTTTGTAAAAATGTTTTACAAACATTTTTACACAGTACAAAAACTGATCTATGCTGTTAGAAGTCAGGATGGTGATTACCCTGGGTGGGTGGAAAGGCAGCAAGAACCCGAAGGGAACTCAACAGGGGCTTCTAGGTCCTGGCAATGCTGTTTCTTGATCTGGGTGCTGGTTACATGCGTATATTCAGTTTGTGAAAAAAATCATCAAGTTGTACACTTATGTGTACTTTTCTACATATAAATATTATATACTTCAATTAAAAGTTGTAATAATTTTTTAAATTTTTTGCAAGTTTTTAGTAACGTATGTTTTAAAAATATTAGTCTGTCCAGATAAAATGGGAACAGAGGAGCACATGCAAATATGGAAGGACTTGATTGACATAGTAACCTGGTGGATGCTTTCAGATCCATATAAAACAGGAGGAGCTTTTTCATAAAATAAGTCAAGCAGCCAGTGAATACAAAGTACCATGTTTATAAAGAATAAATGCTGGGTCTAGAAAGGGAGTTATACAATAAAGGATGAGCTATAAATTCCTTTGAATGTGAGAAGGTATCTCTAGAAATTAAAAAAGCAATAGATGAAAACAGCAATGCCTAAAAAGGTGAGCCATGCTCATTATCTTTTAGCTTATATTTTAATATGGTATTTTCAAGCTCTTCCCTTGCCACCCCAACTCCAATACAGCAGTGTAATGAAACACAAAGATCCTAAACTTGAGCATCAATCACATCTGAGCTGAAACCAATGGTCTGCCCCCACAGCTCCGACAGTAACTGCTCTGAGCCCAGCTCCATCATGTATAAAGAGGATAATGACTACCTCATAGTTGTTATTTTCTCTCTATCACCACCCAAAATGTTGAATTGGTAGACTGGTATTTTAATTTAATTATCATTTCCTAATGGTATATGGAGGGCCAATGGTTGATGGGTTTCCATACTCAAGATTCATAAATGGGAGAAGAGGATTATCTAAGAGTCAACATATAAAAATAGAATGAATAAAGAAAAACGAGAAAGCGACTTCCCTGGCAGCCCAGTGGTTAAGACTCTGAGCTTCTATTGCAGGGGGCACAGGTTTTGGTCCCTGATCAGGGAACCAAGATCCTGCATGCCGCGTGGCACGGCCAAAAAAAAAAAGAAAAATGAGGAGTCAAAGATAAAACTGGGGCTTCTTCTAGCAGATACAGTAGTTTCTGCTGTACAGATACAGTAGTTTCAAGCATTTTCTAAGACAGGGACTTGAGCTGAAGCAGATTGGGACAGGTTCAGTGACTTCAGAAATTATGAGAAGGAAAAAATAATCTATGTTTTCCCAGCAAGACACAGTTCCTACCTAATGTATTCCCTTTGTGGAATATTAGCTAAAACAAGTTAGAGATTAACACTAAGGATATTCTGTCATAGGTGGAAGGGCAAGGTCTTTAATCATTTTATAGCATCCCCACCCTTAAGAATTATTTGAACAACCATATTGTGTAAAGCACTTCCTAAGTATAGCCAAAGATGTTGGGTTTTTTTTGTTTTTTGTTTTTTTGCAGTACGCGGGCCTCTCACTGTTGTGGCCTCTCCCATTGCGGAGCACAGGCTCCAGACGCGCAGGCTCATGGGCCATGGCTCACCGACCCAGCCGCTCCACGGCACGTGGGATCCTCCCGGACCGGGGCACGAACCGGTGTCCCCTGCATCGGCAGGCAGACTCTCAACCACTGCGCCACCAGGGAAGCCCCAAAGATGTTAAGTTTTATATTTCAAGAGCTACTATTTCAAAATAGAAACAAAAATAGAAATTCAAGTTGTTAATAAATCTTCGGGTAATTTTTATTTTCCCCACAGTGTATCCCCTATCCTAAAAAGTAATGAAAACCCGGTTCCTCACGAATTTATCTTTCTGCTGATCTGACAAGTGTCCTCATCTCTACCTCTCTTACTCTTCTCATGCACCTCACCATTAGATACCTAAGGTTTCCCTGTTTCCTACAAAGTTGGCACACTGACTCTCTCTAGTATTCACTCTGATCTCACCAGTACTGATTCTGAACACAGAAACTTGACAACATTCCCAACGATCACTCTGCTAACCAACACCTAAGAGATAACACACAGTTTAAACAAATGAGGGCAGTTGTGGTGATCACACAACTGTATGCATTTGTCAAAACTCATTAAACTGTACACTTCAGGTTGGTGAATCTTATCGTATGTAAATTATACCTCAATAAAGCCGATTTTTTTTAAAGAGAATGCATGCAATCATTCATCCAGCAATATTTACTGAGCATCTATTATGTGCATCAAAGTTTATACCAAATCTTTCAGCTTGACTACTTCCTACCTGTATGAAATGTGTGTGCTCTACTCATAAACTAACACTGTCCCAAAAAGCCATGTTCCATGAAAAACGGTTCCATTTCTGATTATGAATGTCTCCTTAATGATGCCCTCTACAACAGAAGGACCATTAGCTATCTGTCATCTTCCATTACATAAATGAAATCTATGCTCTTTATTGTAATACAAATGCTTCCATCGTAAGAAAATTTAAGCACCTAAGCATACAGAACATACCTCTACCACAGCCTTATATGTTTGTCTTCCTATCAAAAAATTTAGAATATCTCAAAAGCTTACTGATAACATTGCTGGAAGAAAAGGTAATATTATTGGGGAACAGACTTAATTGACTCATTTTAGCAACCACAGTGACCCAGTGGCTGAGTCAAAGGCCTGGAAACTAGGCCTCCTGGCTCCCAACCCAATATGCAGAGTGGACCTTAGAAACAGACTTCGGTTTGAATTCCAGCTCCACTTCTTACTAGTTGTATGCATACACTTAGGAACGTCACCCTCAGTTTGCTCATCTGTGAAACAGGGATGCCAACTACCACCTCACAGCATTGTTGTGAAGACTATATGAGATCTATACCACATAGCACAATTACTGGGCACAGAGTAGGCAACTCAACAATATTAGTTCCCTTTCTTGGTCTTAAATTATTTAAGAAAATATCTATTAATCAAGGCTAATTCATAATCCCTATTAGTAATCACAGGACAACAATGAACCTGTATTTGCTCCTTGTTCATACTCTAGATCAACTCCCTTCCCATCCCACTGTTTCCAGTTTTTCAAACTTCAGTTACTATGTTTAGAAGTGATTTAATTTTAGAAACCTGGAAAATTCTTCTGAGTAAATTGAGCAAAACCTTCATCTGCCCCAAGGGGAATTCTGAGTAAAATAATTATTTCTAACAAGAAAAGAATTTTTTTCTATGGGGGTTATTCAATTTAACCACATGAATGCCGCCAAAGCTGCACGCAAAGTAACAGAAAGTCGTCTGGAACACACCGTACAGATTCTCCGAAGGGAAACATCCCCCTAAAATCCAAACACCTCCCTCCCTAATCTTAGGTAGTAAAATCTTAATAGGTGATCTGAATTCCCCCGGCGCTGACACCAGTCCAACTCCTTAGGCCAGAACTGCAGCAGTCCGTAAAACGCCCTGAACAAACCCCACCTCTCAAAATACCCCCAAAAGGCAGGCAGGTCCAGAGAGTATTTTCTCCTTAATGGACAGAACACTAGAAGCACAATTCCTTTCCCAAGGTCATCCAAGTCAGTGAAGGTGCGACGGAGAATCTGCAGTCTCTCGAGCTTTATGGAGATCACACTGCAGGGATTTTCTTTCTTTTTTTTTTTTTTGAAGTGGGGGCTGCCTATTCTCTTCCCCTCTCCCACACTCAAGTGTGAGCACTGGTCTCGGCATTTCCGAAACAAGCCACAACAAGCTCTGCAGTGTTAGGAAAGGGGCTGACGCGACGAAGAAACAGATGCTCCAAAGCAAGATGGTCTTTCTCGGCTCGCAGAGCCTCCTCCAAGGTTATTAACAGAAACCGCAGGCACCCCAGGGAGCTCTACAGCGGGCTCCGAACCCCCAGCCCGGCCGCTCCGGGACGCCGGGTTCCCTTCAGCAGCCCTCGCAGCCCGAGGCCACCGGCCCCAGAAACCGCACTTCATTCCAGCGCTCCGGGAAGCCATGGCTCTTTCCCCGCCCGGGCAAGGGTGGGGGCGCGCAGGGAGGCGGGCCGCTCGCGCTGCGGAAAGTTCACCGCGGCTGCGGGCGGGGGCGGCCCCGGCCCGGCTCGCCCGCGTCCCCCAGCAGATTCCACCATTAATTAGTCCTAAGGACTGTCTACTGGCAACTTAAACAAAGCGAATGCCTCGAATTCCTTCCCGGCCCAGCGGTCTGGCTGCGAGACCAGCATCGGCCGGGACGCGGGCTGGCGCTGCGGGCGGACAGCTGCGGCGGCCGCGGCGGGACCCCCTCCTCGCCCA